AACAGGCGCTGTTCTAAGCAGCAATAAAAACAACAAGTCTTGGGAATTAAAAATGTAATCACATAAATGAAACACTCAATAAAAGGGTGGGAAGGTAAAGTTGAGAAAATCTTCCAGGAAGTAGAGCAAAAAGATAAAGGGGGGGGGGAAGGGATGAGAAATTTGGAGGACCAATCCAAGAAATCCAATATTTGAAGAATACAATTTCCAGAAAGAAAACAGAAAATGGAAGAGAGGAAATTTTCAATGATGTAATAAAAGAAAATTTCCTGGAACTGAAGGACATGACTTTTCAGATTGAAAGGGCCCATTGATTGCCTATAGAGCAGATGAAAACACCCAAACAGACATGATGAAACTTTAGAACACTCAAGATGATAAGGAAAGGATCCTAGAAACTTCTAGAAAGAAAAAAGACTGAACAAGTCGAAATGAAAAGGATTATTGCTGGGCTCGGTGGCTCAGCCTCTAATCCTGCGCTTTGGGAGGCTGAGATGAATGGATTGCCTGAGCCCGCGGGTTCGGGACCCACCTGGGCAACTTGGTGAGACCTCATCTCTACAATAAATCAAAAGATTAGCTGGGCGTGGTAGCGCACGCCTGTAGTTCCAGCTACTTGGAAGGCTGAGGTGGAAGGATTGCCGTAGCCCAGCAGATCGAGGCTGCAGTGGCTGGGAGCAGCCATTGCACTCCAGTCTGGGAGGCAGAGTGAGACTCCAACTCAAAAAAAAAAAGGATTATGGGTAAGAATGGATTTAGACTTTTCATAAGCAACAACGGAGCTAGAAGACAATTAAGCAACACATTCAACATTCTGAGGAATGTATACTATAATACTCAGGCTTCTGCGTTTACAACTCTAGGGGCACCTGGAGCCTCTGCTCTTATCACGCCTGAAGGCACCCCCCTGGACTTGCCAGCCTTGACCTTGCTCATAGGAAAGACTACACAAATATTTGTTGGATCTGCAGGTCAAGATGGCAGGTCAAGATGGCAAACCGAACACGTGTATTCATTCTCTTTACAAAATTGGGAGTGGGGGAGCAGGTAGGTGAGTGGGAACTGACTTTATCACACCTGGGAAAATCAGAGAGCAGGGGAGGCACCTGAATCTTATAGGAGGGCCCGCATGGCTCAGGGGGTGGTATTAGTAGGTGAAGATGGGGCTGAGAGCAGGAAGATTGCTTGAAAATTTAGCTCCTCATTCTATACAGCCTCTCCACAGCCCTGGCAGCCCAAGGTGAAATCTCTCAAGAAAGAGGGCCTCTGGACACCACCACATTGAGAGCAAGCAACTGAGTCAACAGTTACAGGTTGAATGCTGAGCACAGCCTCCCTGTCTCTTTCCCACGCCTGCCCTATTTTCAGGAGAGAAAACAGAAGAGCCTTCTCCAGGGACTCTAATCCACCCAAGAGGAAAAATGTAAGGAGACCAACATTCCAAGAGACCCAAAGATCAGCCCAGCCAGATCACTCACTCTATTGTGTCATACACCCCACCCACGGACTCAGAGTCTCTATTGAACTCGTTAGTCCTCCTGCCTTAATCATAAGCAGATACACAAGGATCTTTAGACATCTGAGGGAGGTCTCTAACATGGAAGCTAGAGACTAAAACAAGTGAACAGGGAAAAGGAACTTGGAAGAAACAAAGACTATATGGGGAGAAATAAACTTTCTGCCTACCTTTCCTCCCCCTAAAACTGTCAATAATATCTTCAGAGAGAAGAGTGAGAGAAAATTATTGCATCATTAAAATAGGATGCTGCTGGGCGCAGTGGCTCATGCCTGTAATCCCAGCACTTTGGGAGGTGGAGGCAAGAGGATTGCATTGACCCAGGAGTTTGAGACCAACCTGAGCAACTTGGCGAGACCTTTTCTCTATGCTAAATCAAAAAATTAGCTGGGCATGGTGGTGCGCACCTATAGTTCCAGCTACTTGGAAGGCTGAGGTGGAAGGATTGCCTGAGCCCAGCAGGTTGAGGCTGCAGTGGCCGTGAGTGTGCCACTGCACTCCAGCCTGGGCAGTGACAGAGTGAGACTCCAACTCAAAAAGAAAAAAAGCAAGCAAGCAAGCATAGGATGCTTTAAGAGGGGGTATTCGTAGTCTTTAGAACTACGAGAAAGAAATGTCTGTTTAAGCCAGAACATGATAGCTTGTTACAGCAGCCTGAGCTAAGGCAAAGGTAGAATAGAATTCTACCTTTCATGTCATCATCTAAGAGGAGTTCTGGGGTTGGAATAATGGTAAAGACTAACTAAGCAAAGGAGGAAGGAGAGCATGGTTAGCCAACAGGGAAACAGGAAGTTCTGTGGAAGTGACGGGATCATAATGCACTGCGTGGCTTTGCTTGGAGCACCATTTCGATGGTCATGAGAAGATGGCACCAAATTATCAATCTAACACAAACTGTGATATTGAGAAAGCAGAAAGTAGGTGGTCAGGGCAGAATATAGTGCAGAGAGAATTAGGTCTTCATCGTTATAGTGGGAAGTTGAGTTATATCTAAAATGGAAAAGTCTAGAACTATTTACATACATGTGGCATTTAGAGATTTGGAGCAATTACTAAAAGAATCAGCTACAAGACTTGAAAGTGGTTAGCTCTGGGGAAGGGGCAGTGTCATTACTATTTTTTTTTTGAGTTAGAGTCTCACTCTTATTGCCCAGGCTGGAGTGCAGTGGCACACTCATGGCCACTCCAGCCTCGACCTGCTGGGCTTAGGCAGTCCTTCCGCCTCAGCCTTCCAAGTAGTTGGAACTACAGATGCAGGCCACCACGTCCAGCTAGTTTTTGTGATTTATTGTAGATACAAGGTCTCACCAAGTTGTCCAGTCTGGTTTTGAACCAGGCAATCCTCTCACCTCAGCCTCCCAAAGTGCTGGGATTACAGGCTGAGTCACCACACCCAGCCTACTATTATGTTTTAATTAAGCCTTTTAGAATTTCATAATTATTTAAATGTGTGCTTTTCAGACTATCCTTGATGAAGGAAAAAGCTTTCTTTTCCAAGTCCTTTGTAAAGGGCAATACAAATGAATTACTAGAAGTATGATCATGCACTTGGATGTCAGCATATTGCTAAGTTGCTTTAAATTCTTCCTTTCAATTTTAGTACTTATATCATCGTGGATGAGTAGCAGTCTACAGAGTGGCACTGACCTATGGAGGCATTGTTTTAGTCTATGTTTATGCATAATTTTGATTTAAAAAACACTTAAAAGCAGGGCATGGTGGCATGCACCTGTAGTCTCAACTATTTAGAAAACTGAGGTGGGAGGATTGCTTGATCCCAGGAGTTGAGACTAGAATGGACCTCGTCTCTAAAAACATAAACATAAAAATTTAAGAATAAATAAATCCTTGAAAGAGGGATGCACAACAATATAATTATACTCAGCTATACTTAAAATAGTTAAAAAGAAATCCAAACAAAAACAATTTTTAAAGGGAGTTCACACCTACTAGGATGGCTAGAATGAAAAAAACAAAAGCCAACCAACAAGTGTTGGTGAGAATGTGGAGAAATTAGAACCCTCATGCCATTGCTGGTGTAAATGACAAATGGCCCAGCCACTTTGGAAAGCAGCTGGCAGGTCCTCAAAAAGGTAAGTGGAAATACTACCACCCAGTGACTCCACTCCTAGGCATATGCCCGGAAACATCGAAAGCAGAGACCCAAACAGTTATTTTTAACTATGTTCATAACTGCATTATTCACAATAGCCGAAAGGTGAAAGCGACCCAAGTGTCCACCAACAGATGACTGGACAAGTAAAATGTGGTCTATCCATACAATGGACTACTATTTGTCCATAAAAAGGGATGATGTTCTAATTCTTGCAACAATGTGGATGAACCTTGAAAACATAACACTAAATGAAAGAAGCCAGACACAAAAGGTGAATATGGTAGAATTTCACTTGTATGAGCAGAGTAGTCCAATTCACAGAGACAGTTGCTGGGATTAGGGGAGAGAAGGGAATGGGAGTTGTTGTGAACAGACTGCAGTTCTAGAGGAAGATGAAAACACTTTGCAACATATCATGATGATGGTTGTACAACATTGTGAATGTACTTAATATCACTGATTGTACACTTAGAAATGGTTCACGTAGCAATTTTATGTTGTATGTATTTTATCACCATTTAAGAAAATCTCGACTGGGTTTTGTGGCTCAGTCTCTAATCCCAGCACTTTGGGAGGCCGAGGTAGGTGGATTGCCTGAGCCTGCGGGTTCGAGACCAGCCTGGGTAACTTGGCGAGACCTCGTCTCCACAATGAATAAAAAGTTAGCCTGGCGTGGTAGTGCGCGCCTGTCACTTCGGCTACTTGGAAGGCTGAGGCAGAAGGATCGCCTGAGCCTAGCAGGTCAACGCTGGAGTAGCCATGAGCATGCATGCCACCGCACTTCAGCCTGAGCAACAGAGTGAGACTCCAACTCAAAAAAAAAAAAACCAAAAGAACTTAAAAACAACCTATGTCTAAAATCTAAAAGAGCTCTTTCATTAAATATAAAATAAAAATGTTAAGTTTTAACAAGAAAGTAGATAAATAGCTGGGCTCGGTGGCTCAACCTGTAATCCTGCGCCTTTGGGAGGCTGAGGTGAGTGGATCGCTTGAGCCCGTGGGTTCGAGACCCACCTGGGCAGCGAGACCTCATCTCTACAATAAATCAAAAAATCAGCCGGGCATGGTAGCGCATGCCTGTAATTCCAGCTACTTGGAAGGCTGAGGCAGAAGGATCGCCGGAGCCCAGCAGGTCGAGACTGCGGTGGCCGGGAGCAGCCACTGCACTCCAGTCTGGGTGACAGAGTGAGACTCCAACTCAAAAAAAAAAAAAAAAAAAAAGAAAGTAGATAAATAAAAATAACAGAGGGAGAACACAGAAGGTCAGGAAGAGGATGAGTAGTGTGGAGGTGGTCGAATTTCAAGAGGTATTGGTAGAGGAGGAGTGCTTGGGGAGCAAAGGCCCAGTGGCAGGATTGTGAGGGCCAAATGGGTTATTTCAAGGAGCCCGTGTGGTTGAAACCTGGGACCGTGGGGAGAAGCAACGGGAGGTTGAAGGTGGAAAGCCATCATGAGAAGAGCGTGTGGGCAGGGGGTAACCTCACTGGGAGGGCCTCAAATGGGAAGAAGAGTGCTTCTCAGCTCCAGCAGCTCCAGTCACCCAGAGGGCTTGTCAACACAGCTCGCTGGGCTCCACCTCCAAGTTTCTCACTGGTGGGATGTGGGGCTGGGTGGGGGGCGGCTGGTAGGGGGTGAATGGTGGGATATTGAACCTCTCTCTCTTCTCCCCAGACACCACCACGCGCCTCCTGCTGGGTGCCATCGCGGTCCTTCTGTTTGCCATCCTGGTGGTGATGAGCATCTTGGGTGAGCGTGCATGTCAGAGCATTTATGCAATGCAGTTTGCACACTCATTGTCAAAAGCACATCTCATTAGGTGAGGAAGGTTCCAGACATGCCAGGAGTTCTTTAAGGGACAAAGTAAGTAGAAAATACATGGTGTCGGTTGTCGATGAGATTTTAGCCTAAAATAATATATTCATACACAGACTCTACATATCCCCTTTATTAAGCCATGCAGGTAAAGTGGAGATGTTACTTAGGTGTGATTTGAAAGCACTGTGAGAATTCAGAGCAAACATGGTTGGGATATAACCTGTCCCAACCGGTAGGCAATGTTTTTTGGAGGAGACGGTTTGGGGATAAGGGTCTTTAAAGATCACATTCATTCAAATAGTTATTGAGCCCTGCTGCATGTTAGGCCCTGGGCTAAGTGTTAGGGATTAAAAGAGTGTGAGTATGACACTCTTTCCCTTGTCCAGGGTAAGTGCAGTATTAGAGGTATTACCACCTGGTAGCTTCCCAGAGGGGGAAGTGTGCACTGAACCCTAAAACATGAATAGGAGTTTCCCAGAGATCAAAAGGTAGAAGATGCTGCGAAGGGAAAAACTTTCCCTCTACTCTCTTATGTTCAGTGTCTGGGGATCTGTGAATTAAACAATCCAAGACAGATTAGCAGGAGAAAAGGCACATGATTATTATTATTATGTTCATGCGAATTCACAGAAAAAGTAAAAAACTCAAAGAAGCATTTAGACTCAGGAGCTTATATTCCTTTTTAACAAAGGAAAGATGATTTGGGCTTTGAGGGATAGTAAACTGGGGGAAGGAAACATGGAGAACAATAGAAGATAAAGGCTTGTTTATGCAACCTATGGTGTTGATTCCTTGGTTTGATGATGAGTCACTCTTCCTTCCCTTGTGTGGGATAGGGAGTCGGGGTCCAGGGAGTGATGGGAGGTCGCACAGCACCTTCCTTAAAGAGAAATGTGTGCCCTACTTTTAGGCAGATAAGGGGCAGACAGAGAACTCTTCCTGCTTCTGTTGATTCTTGATTGGCTTCAGCTCAAAACTATCCTTATGCCAAAGTGGCATGTTTTGGGGTGGCATGTTCTGGACCCCATCAAGAGAACAGAGCATTCTACGTGAGAGAGGCCTGAGAAATGGAGTGGTATGTGGGACTTCCAGGGTCAAACAATTTTAAAAGGTGGGAACTGCAACTAAGGGCAGGTGGGGCCATATGAATGTGGGTACTTATAAGGGATTTGAGTCCCAGTGTGCCATGGTTCTAAAGGGTTTGCAAAAGTGTCCTGAATCCTTGAGAAATGTCATAAGGCGAGAGGTAGACCTTTCAAAATGGGGGAATCACACCAAAAATATCAATTCCTACCAAATCCTCCCCTACAGGGCTTGTTTGACCAGCAAGGGACTGTGAGTGTTTAGAAATGGGTGTGGTAGCCACTGGGGCCAATGTGGAGTCATCCTGATTAATTACTACAACTTCAAGCAGTTTCCCTTGATTCTGTTGGTAGGCTGGGAGGTCAGGGCCATGTGTAGACATAGAAGCTTATCATTTCAATAAAACAAAAGTTTCTTAGAAGATCCTTGTGGGAAAGCAGTTGAATTGCAGCCACACCAAGGACCATACTCCCAGGTGGGCTTGCAGCTCATGAACAGATATGCCCAGGGAGTGTCGACTAATTCATTGGTGACCACGTGGCTGTAGACTCCCAGGGGCTTGAGTGCCCTGGGCCTATTCCTGGCTGTGTTCTGGTTTACATTTTAGTCATCACTTGTATGAAAACAGAGAGCATACATATGGAAATTACAGCTGACATAACCCCAAAACATAATTCCATATCACAGATGGGAGGAAAAAAATCAAGATTAAAATGTATCTTTAAAAACTCAAATGATGAGCCAAAGTGAATGAGATCAATGTGGAAGAAATAAATATCAGGTTCTGCATTTGTCTCTAAAAGTGGTTTTTCACATGTTCTGGACCTGGGAGAGCTGGCCTGGAAACAGATCATGTGAAAACAATCTGAGATTGCAGCTTCATTGCTTTGGTAAGGAGGCTCTTCGAGAAGACCTTCCTTCCCAGAAAAGTGCACGTATGCTTCACAGGGCCTGCTCACTGAAGCATCTGCCCACAGAGACCTGGCATAGCTGGAAGGCAGCATGTGGCCACCGCTGCTGGTTGAGCCACATCTGATGTGTCTTGGTCTGTCTGGTGGCAGAATTTCAGCGGTAATGTGGGGACGCTGCTGTGAGCAGGCAAGATGCAGAGCAGCGAGATGAGGGGAGGCTGGTGTCTACCAAGCAGGAAGTAGAAGACGGAACGGGCTTGCTCAGGGTATGCCAGAGGGCAGAGGCTAGACCAGTAGATCTAGGCCACAGGAGGGCAGAGTGGGACTCAACACTTAGAACTGTCCAGCAGTTCAGCATGTGGAATGGGAAGCCTCGTTAGCTAATTACAGTGTGGTTCACGAGAGCAGGCCGTCTATCCTGCAGATGTATTGTGCCCTGACTAGAGAGAGAGAACCTATGGCGTCCAGGTCCTGCTCAAACTTCCCAAATTTCCGGGGTTCCATCACTCAGGAGTTTGGAGACAGGAAATCTTCACCCAGGGGCTGCTCTGCTGTTACTTCTCCTCACAAGATATTCCTGCCAGCCTCCGAGATTCTCCTTTCTCATTCATTGGGTCGCCAGCCTTTTTACCTCCAGGCACTGTGACAGGACAGCCACATCCACAGTGTCACTGAAGTGGGCAGTGGTGGTGTGCTTTAGCCCAAGTGGTGTGGGCATGAGTATGTCTGGTGTGTGATATGGGGACCATGTACCCTGAAGTCCAGGCAGGGGGAAGGGGCCAGAACAAATGGAGTGGGATTCTGGAGTGGGAGGCAAGATGGTGGCCAGGGGTGCTGACAGATGCTGAGCTGGTTTCTTCCCCGCAGCTTCCAAGGGCTGCATCAAGTGCGAGGCGCCCTGCCCAGAGGACTGGCTGCTGTATGGAAGGAAGTGCTACTTCTTTTCTGAGGAACCCCGAGACTGGAACACAGGCAGGCAGTACTGCCACACCCATGAGGCTGCACTGGCTGTGATTCAGAGCCAGAAGGAGCTGGTGAGTGCGTTGAGGTTGGAGGAGGGATCCTCTGTACCCCCTCCCTGGACTCTGAGGGGAGAGCCACACCCCAAGGACAGTGTCCCCCGTGACATGTCTCCAGAGCCACTGCATAGCCATGAGGTGTGCAGGTAGACCGCGAGGGGTCTGAGCAGGTCAGTGAGTGACTTCAGTTTCCACTTCCATTGTCAAGGGCTCTTATTTCAATCCAAGCCTTCTTGGCTGAGCTCAACTTACTATTGTAAAGTGTAAGAATTACAAATTAGATTAGCTGGGCGTGGTAGCACGCGCCTGTACTTCCGGCTATTTGGAGGGCTGAGGTGGAAGGATCGCCAGAGGGTCGAGGCTGCGGTGGCCAGGAGCGTGCCACTGCACTCCAGTCTGGGCGACAGAGTGAGATTCCAACTCATTAAAAAAA